CCCGTGACCCTATCAAACTATGTTTTTAATTGTAATGCTACAAATTTGTACAACTATAATGCTTCATAATTGAAATGTTCAAATTTCATTGTTTAAGCTCTAAACTGTCCACACGTAGATATATGTTCATGTGTGGCAGGCTCCGAACGTAGATCAACGTTTTACTTTTCACTCCTTCAAAATTGGCGTGATAGGCCTGAGTCGCCTAGAAATGAGAGAATGGATGTGTGCACTCAGTGTGCGCACATTGAAAAAAATCGGGGACGCTAGGGTACCGCGTGGTAACACCAGTTAGTTTCAGCTCCATCTTGGGTCAACATCATGGCAAACCCCATGAGTCACTGACGCCTTGGCATATTAACACTCTACTATTCCTGGAAAGTGATATAGAATGTGAGTTTAGTGGTTTGGACTCTGATATAGCCACTAAAGATCAAGGAGTTAGTGAAACTTTTGTTGATAACCCAGATGACCCTCAGGCCATTACCTCTGGGGTGGCCAGTGTGGATAGTGTGGCCATACCAGACCCTCAGCCCAGCACTTCTGAGGTGGCCAGTGTGGCCACAATAGACCCTCAGGCCATAACCTCTGGGGTGGCCAGTGTGGATAGTGTGGACAGTGTGGCCATACCAGACCCTCAGCCCAGCACTTCTGAGGTGGCCAGTGTGGCCATAACAGACCCTCAGCCCAGCACGTCTGGGGTTGCTAGTGTTACTTTCCAAAGGCAACTCTGCAAGAGGAAATTATCATTTTCCATGCATTATGGTGATGATGATAGTGAAAGTGATATAAGTGACGATGATGAAATCGATTTTATGCCGATAGACGATTCAGCGAGTGAAAGTGATTATCGCTTTTCCCCAGTGAAACGTACTTTTAGGCGTCGTAACCTACGTTCAGGCAGTGTGCCATATGTAGTCAGTGGTAAGGGTCGTGGCAGGTCATGATCCGAAACCCCAGCCACTGGTAGTGATAGTGATGGTGATAATGGAGGTGAATATGCTGGGATGGAGGAAGAGGGGGGTGGCATGGTGCCTGGACCTCGTGGCGCAGTGGGTGGGCAGACAAAGGACCGCCTGGCACCCTCTCAACTATGTGCTGTCTCCACTCCTGTCCCCCCTCCTGCTCCCCAACGCCCCATGCCACAGGTCCACCCTGCACCATGTGACCGCGAATGGAACTGGACAGAAAGTACACCATTTGTGCCACATCCTTTCAGTTTTGATGCCAGTGGAAGTGGCATCATGCCACACTGTCCCATCACAAATGAGTCTACAGAGTTAGACTATTTTCAAGTATACTTTGATGACCTGATAATGAACCTAATTGTTACCCAGACCAACATGTACTACCAGTATACAATGGACCACACAGATGTTTCAGAGTCTTCACGGCTGCGCAGGTGGAAAGATACAACTGTGGCTGAAAGGTATTTCCTCCTTGGCACTGTCATACTTACGCCACACACCTATAAGAACAATAGCACACTACTGGTCCACAGACCACTTCACCAGTACTCCAGTCTTCCGTGACCTCCTTCCCTGCAACAGATTCACTCTGTTGCTACGAATGTTGCACTTCTCAGACAGTAATACGCTAAACAGAAATGACCTCTTATACAAAATCCGGGAATTGTTTATGTATCTGAAGCAAAAATTCAGTGCCTACTTTTATCCATTCAAGAACATTGTTGTTGATGAGTCCTTAGTTCTGTTCAAGGGACAACTGCCATTCAAACAATATACGTATACCAAGCAAACATAATCGCTTTGGTATAAAACTCTTTGTTATGTGTGACTGTGAGACTGGTCTTGTGTTGGATGTCATTATCTACACGGAAAAATACACTCGGCGATACCAGGCGCACGTTGGGCATTTCTGGGGATGTTGTTCGCAAGATGATGGGGCAATACCTTGGCAAAGGTCATACATTGTTCACAGACAACTGGTATATAAGCCCTATGCTTGCAGATTTCCTTTATGTGAAAAATACTGATATATGTGGAACAGTGAGAAGAAGTAGAAAACACATGCCAAGGTTCACTGGACGAAGTCTAGTGGAAGCATTTCATGCCAATGACATCATGGCACTGACTTGGCATGACAGACGGGACGTGACGTTGCTGTCAACCACCCACAGAAACGAGATGGTACAGACAGACAGACTGAGCAGGTTCAACAATGAACCTATTGTAAAGCCAGCTGCTGTCATCGATTATACAAACATATGCGACTAGTCGACAAGTGTGACATGATAATAGGGTTTGTGACTGTGTGCGTAGGAGCTGCAAGTGGTATATAAAAGTTTTTTTCCACCTTGTAGACATTGCAATGCTCAATGCCTTCAACATGTATGAAATAAAGACCGGGAAGCGACAACGATATGCAGAATTCACCCTCAACATCATCAAGCAGATAGCAAAAAAGTATGGTACCACACCTATACCTTCACTCCGCAGCGACCTGTCACCCACAACAGCGACCTATCACTCCACAATCAACAAAAATGGAGGTGATCGACAAAAATAGAGCAAAAATCAATGAAAAAATGTCGGCTAAAACAGAAATCGGCGATAACGAGAGCGACGAAAATGGAGGGTCCACTGTAATTTCTAAGCAGCAGACTTCTGTCAATGCAAAGATGGTAAAGCTGCTTTTGACATGGTTGACGGAGAAACAGCTCGCAGGAGATACGTAGTGTAGTGAGATAAACATAAACAAAATTCAGTTAGCCTCACAAACTGTTTTCTCTTATAATAACACCTCTGACATTTTCATAGCGAGAATGCTCGACCACTCTCGCGACCACAATCCTCCTCCCTCCGCTGTCCACATAATGACATATTTTATTCATTCTAGAGTGTATATCAGGTTTCTATGTTATTTATATTGTTTATTATGTCAGATGAATTGTGACAGGTAAATAAGCCGTAGAGTTGATAATAGGGTTATTTTGTCATGCCTCCTGAGAGCAAGAATTCAGCTGAAATGAATTAATTGCATTTCAGTTAATTTAAATGAGGAAAATTGACCCAGCATACGAACAAATCAGGATATGAACAAGTCCACGGAATGGATTAAGTTCTTAAGCCAAGGTTCTACTGTATTAGTAGTACGTACGAGGTGAGGAAATCTTGATCTAGGGAATTCGATCTATGTTCCAGTTCCCTAAATTATGCCTGAATACCTTCCTTCCCTTCCCCCCTACAAGCGCTTCCCCATTATAATAATAATAATAATAATAATAATAATAACAATAATAATAATAATAACAATAATAGTATGGAAGAAGTGAATGTTTTCAGATACTTGGGAGTTGACATGTCGGCGGGGATGATTTATAAAGGGATGAGGTTAATCATAGAATTGATGAGGAAAAAAGGTGAGTGGTGCGTTGAGGTATATGTGGAGTCAAAAAACGTTATCTATGGAGGCAAAGAAGGGAATGTATGAAAGTATAGTAGTACCAACACTCTATTATGGTGTGAAGCTTGGGTGGTAAATGCAGCAGCGAGGAACGGTTGGAGGCAGTGGAGATGTCCTGTTTAAGGGCAATGTGTGGTGTAAATATTATGCAGAAAATTGGGGAGTGTGGAAATTAGGAGAAGGTGTGGAGTTAATAAAAGTATTAGTCAGAGGGCAGAAGAGGGGTTGTTGAGGTGGTTTGGTCATTTAGAGAGAATGGATCAAAGTAGAATGACATGGAAAGCATATAAATCTATAGGGGAAGGAAGGCGGGGTAGGGGTCGTCCTCGAAAGGGTTGGAGAGGGGGGGTAAAGGAGGTTTTGTGGGCAAGGGGCTTGGACTTCCAGCAAGCGTGCGTGAGCGTGTTAGATAGGAGTGAATGGAGACGAATGGTACTTGGGACCTGACGATTTGTTGGAGTGTGAGCAGGGTAATATTTAGTGAAGGGATTCAGGGAAACCGGTTATTTTTCATATAGTCGGACTTGAGTCCTGGAAATGGGAAGTACAATGCCTGCACTTTAAAGGAGGGGTTTGGGATATTGGCAGTTTGGAGGGATATGTTGTGTATCTTTATATGTGTATGCTTCTAGACTGTTGTATTCTGAGCACCTCTGCAAAAACAGTGATAATGTGCGAGTGTGGTGAAAGTGTTGAATGATGATGAAAGTATTTTCTTTTTGGGGATTTTCTTTCTTTTTTTGGGTCACCCTGCCTCGGTGGGAGACGACCGACTTGTTGAAAAAAAAAAAAAAAAATAATATAATAATATACTATAATAATAATTATAATAATAGCTTCCAAAGGCCATCAGTAGATGGCAGTGAATACCACAACAATGCGGGAGTGCTTATGGCTGTCTCCACTTGTCACATAATGACATATTTTGTTCATTCTAGAGTATATATCAGGTTTCTATGTTATTTATATTGTTTTTTATACCATATTAGATCAATTATGATAGATAAATAAGCTGTAGAGTTGATATTAGCCTTATATTGAAGTGTATTTTTCCTGCCTCTGAGAGCAGGAATTCCACTGGAACGAATTAATGGCTTTTCAATTAATTTAAGTGAGTAAAATTGACTCAGCATATGAACAAATCAGGATACGAACAAGGTCACAGAATGGATTAAGTTCGTAAACCGAGGTTCCACCATATTTTAGTATTAAGCAGTGTTTAAATTATTTTATACAACCCCATCAATGTATAATATGCCAATAACAATAGGGTTTTTTTTTCATGGGAATGGATTAATCATTTTCCCAATATTTCTTATGGGAAAATTTGTTTTGTATACATCCTGTTTGGTATAAGTCCAAGGTCCTGGAACATATACTGAGGTACCACTGTATTTGTCTTTGTATTCTTTTGGATTATGATTTTCATTGTTTACAGGTTAATTTTTTATTTTTTCTGAAGTAGTTTGCAGGATTCTGTTTGTGAAGGGCATGCCTAGCATGGATCAGTATGCATTCTGCAGTGCTCTTCTGTGCTCGTGTTCTTACATTTAGTGCTATTTGTCACATTTCAGGAGAGGTTCGCCAAAAAATACTTCAGACATGTCTGTCTCTAAATACTTCTGAAGTAATTCTACGCACGCTTAAGGTTCTGTCTGCCGATGGTCTGGATGCTATTGAATCTTGTACAAGCTCAGCATTTCAGGTTCTAGCAAAGCTGGCATCAAAAGGTATTAGAATATATATTATAAATACAGTACATTACAAGTATTTATTAATACATTTTTATTTATTTATGTCTTTGCAAATAGTACATTGAGACTGCTGCATTGGGCTCAGATACTTTTATCATGATAAAATTTTTTACAGTACCTATTCCCATAAGTTTAGGAATGTAACTCTTTTTCCCCATTACAATATACTATTATTGGTTCAGTCATCATACAGTATTTAGTTAATATTGTAACTACTATATTAATTGAAAATTGTTAATTTCTTTAGTATGTTGAATCATATTTACAATAAAATTCCTATTACTTCTCAGACCCCAAGCTGGCAGTGAAAGCAAGACTTGTTGGGAGCGTAAAGTTGATACACCAGTTACTTCAGGCCCATATGAAAAGTACTATTCCACTCCTTCCTTTACTGATGGTGACTAAACACTTGGCCAAAAATTGTAAGTGATCAGTATTTTTTTTTAATATATGATCTCTCTCCTTGTATCAGTGAAATATGCCATTGATTGATTATGAAATATGTATATAATCACTTTAAGATAAGATAAAATTTCATTCGGATTTTTAACCCCGGAGGGTTAGCCACCCAGGATAACCCAAGAAAGTCAGTGCGTTATCGAGGACTGTCTTAACTTACGTAGTTTGTTAGGATGTTTTATTCTTTCACAGTATTATCTTTGAAACCCTGAAATATCATGTATACACCTATCACTATTTTACTATACTAATCACTTTATTTAAAACCCTTATTATATTTTGCTGGTAGAAAAATACAGTGGAACCTTGACTTACAAGTTTAATCCATTTCATGACCTAGCTCATAACTCTATTTACTCGTATATCAAATCAATTTTCCTCATTTAAATTAATTGAAAAGCCATGAATCCATTCCTGCACTCTGGAGACAAGACAAAATACTTGAATATGACACTAGTATCAACTGTACGGCTTATTTATCTATCTCAATTCATCTAATGTGACATAATAAATAATATAATTAACACAGAAACATAATATATACTCTAGAACATATAAAATAGGCCATAATATGGTGGCAGAGGCAGTGGAAGAAGAGTCCACCTTTTCCTCTCTAACTTTGACTATGGTATCTCCCCATGCTCTTATTATAAGAGAAAACAGAGTATTTGTGAGGCTAATAGCAGAAATATCATAAATAAAAACATAATAAATCATATTACACTACAAATAAAAACATAATAAATCATAATACACTACAGAATGTAAAGAAATGTTAAACTGTTTATACAAAGTGTATATGTTCGTATATTTTTAATCACTGAACTTAACTGATATAATTTGTTTTTAATCACTGAACTTAACTGATATAATTTGTTTTTTAATCACTGAACTTAACTGATACAATTTGTTTTGTTTAATCACTGAACACAAGTGATACGGCCTTAGTATCTACATATCATAAATGTACTAAGCTTGTATTGCCTGGCTAAGTCCATGGAAATCATCGTCTTTTTTTTTCTCAGCACTGTCCTTTGCACCTATTTTCTTAGGACCCATGGTTAGAAAAAAGAAATTTGGTCAAATGACTGTAAAAAAAATGCAAGCAAGGACAAGAGAACTAACTGCTCCTACAGCGATGTAAACGTGTAATGTTTACCAAATGTTTTGGCATCAGCTGTGCCAACTAGCGGCAGTATTCTGAATTATTATTATGTACATATTATGTATTATTATTATTATTATTATTATTTTTATTATTATTATTAACCCTTTCAGGGTCCAAGGCCAAAATCTGAAGTCACGCACCAGTGTCCAAGAAATTTTGAAAAAAAAAAATTATTTTTTCTTACAGAATTAAAGAGCATATTTTTGTGAAGGTAATAAAACAAAAAAAATTAGAATCTGATCAGTACTTACCGAGATACAGTGCCAAGAAGTTTGTAGAAAATGATGTGGTGGCGGCAACATCGACGAATTCCACATACGCGTATTATATTATTTTGTTGTTTTAGTTGTTTTTTCTTTTCTTTTCCAATTTTTTTCTATTCCTACTAACATTTGGGGCCTGAGAGACCAATACTGTATTTTTTTTTTTTTTTTTTTTTTTTTTCAACAAGTCGGTCGTCTCCCACCGAGGCAGGGTGACCCAAAAAAAGAAAGAAAATCCCCAAAAAGAAAATACTTTCATCATCATTCAACACTTTCACCACACTCACACATTATCACTGCTTTTGCAGAGGTTCTCAGAATATAACAGTTTAGAAGCATATACGTATAGAGATACACAACATATCCCTCCAAACTGCCAATATCCCAAACCCCTCCTTTAAAGTGCAGGCATTGTACTTCCCATTTCCAGGACTCAAGTCCGACTATATGAAAATAACCGGTTTCCCTGAATCCCTTCACTAAATATTACCCTGCTCACACTCCAACAGATCGTCAGCTCCCAAGTATCATTCGTCTCCATTCACTCCTATCTAACACGCTCATGCACGCTTGCTGGAAGTCCAAGCCCCTCACCCACAAAACCTCCTTTACTGTATATAATTGATATATATATATACTCACTGTATTGAACACAATAACCGCACTAAAGTTATTATCATATTATTGTTTACCACTGTTGTTTATTACAATAAACATGCACAAATATTGTATAATACTAATGTTCTATCATATATTTACATGTTTACAATCACTGGACATGGTTTTAGAACTGCTGGAGCTTGTGGAACTCCTTGAAACAAGGCACCATGCACAGAGGCACCTTACATTCCTCACACATAAACCGAGTGTCTTTGCGTTTTTTGTTTTCCGTCGTTTTGTTTGTGCACAGACAATGCATCTCTTCTGAACAAATTTCTTTTGAGTGAAAGGGAAGCTGTATTATGAAATGATCAACCCTTTTCTCCTCAAAAAGCTTGGGTATATTGTGATGAATTCGAGGGGCCATGTTTGTATTGCAGGTGTTGTTACCTGGTACTTCATTATGAGTTGTCTGACAACAGACAAACAAAATTCACCATACGGTGGTCTGTTACCAGTCTTTATTTGGTACTTTTATATGCATTTAGCATTGAAATGTCCATGAGATGGAAGAAAAGTTTCATTTTACCACTTGTAACTCTTACGAACACAGTCAACAAAAACCAATCTGCATGTCCCCACTTGTCAACCAAGGCATGTTTTATGTATAATCAATCACTGTCACTGGGTTTTTAAACGTT